AGCTTTCCTGGTTGCTGAGATGAAAGTGGGTGACAAAATGTACTCGCTTTCCAAACACACACACACACACACACGCACACACGCAGACAACCTCTCGACAATATGCGTTTTTTGCTGGTTTTTGCTGTGCAGCGATATAGCGCTGCAACGCATAAAAATAGGAACGCAGAGCTCTTTTAAAATTGGCTTTATTTCGTTTAAATTTAGCTCAGGTAGTGTAACCGAAGATGGTCGTTTCTTGCTTGTGACTGTAAATCGAGGCTGCGACCCATACAATATGTTGTATTACTATGATGTGCAAGAAGCAAAGCAAAAAATTACTGGAAAAGTGCCGCTAAAGCCAGTGTTCGATAAGCTGGATGGAAGATATGCTGTAAGACATTATTTTCAGATGAAGTTACTGCATGAGATACCCATACTGGCAGCCCGGTCGATCCTGATATTTTTGGTACTGTCGCTGAAAAAAAAAAAACTTTTTTGGTTTTGTGGTGCCTTTTAGAAGGATTTGGGATTGAAATCTTTAGAGCTGTTTTTCATAATAAGGGATTTTTTTTGGCTTTGAGCATGGAAACAGTGCTACTTGCTGTTGTGTTATAAGAGCAGTGCGCTTTGATTTGAATTTGCTTACTTCTGAGATATTTAAATATTGTTTTGCTTTTTTACATTTATATCCGAGTTGTTTGTATTTTCGGGTAAAAATTTTCTTTTCACTTTCTAGTTTGTTGATAATGACGGCGACACTGCACTGATTTTGACAGATCATGAAGCACCAATGTACAAACTGATTCGCGTGAAAATGTCTACAGCGAATGTAGGACCATCTGCTTGGGAAACTGTAATACCAGAGGATGAAAAGAATACATTGGAACTGGTGATGAATGTTGGCGGTGATCGACTGCTGGTTTCCTACATCGAGGATGTCAAGGTTGTTCGTGATTTTTGTTTTCCAAAATTGTTTCTAATAGTTTGAGCGTGTGTATGGTTTTTATGGGTTTTTTGCAGCTATGCAATGCAGAAAACGCATATTGACGAGAGGTTGTCTGTGTGTGTGCCTGTTTGTTCGGCTGTACCGATTTTTCATCTCCAGATCCACAAAAGCTACAAGACTGAAGCTTTGAGAACTTAATCCACTTGCATGTAAGGCCCCAGTCCCCAAAATGGGCGGTCTTACCCGCATGGTGCCCACGTACGGGCCCGTGAAATTTTTTTTTCGTGTAAGTTGCTAACTCAAGAATCTGAAAAGCTAGAAGACTGGAATTTTAAGGGAGTGTTCCCCGTCCAAGTAAGTATTAAAAAATTCAAACTCAGCCCTCAGATGTTAGTGGTTCTCGCGTACGGGCCCGTGAAATTTTTTTCAGGTAAGCTGCTAACTCGCGAACTTGAGAAGCTGGAAGGCTGGAATTTTTAAGGGATGTTTCCCATCACAGTGGGTATTAACGAGTTCAAACCCAGACACCAGGTATGCGCGGTACCTAATTACGGGCCCGTGAAATTTTTTTTACGGGTAAGTTGCTAACTTGGGCACCTGGGAAGTTAGAGGATTGGAATTTTAAGGGGATATTCCCCATCCTAGTAGGTGATAATGAGCTCAAACCCAGACACTGGGTGTGCGTGGTGCCCACGTATGGGCTTTCCAAGTTTTTTCCCTGCTAAACTGCTAACTCGAGGAACCGAAAAGTTAGAAAGCAGAGATTTTTATGGGGCTGCCAGTCTTAATTTGTTTAGCTAGAAGCATTTGCCGGGAAACCGGTGCCGGTAGCGCAAAAATCACGGAGAGCTACGCAAAACAAGCATCTTCGCACGGGCAGCTCGTGCGTTGACCAATTATTTTCTTTAGTGAGCGGATTTTTAAATGCTCAGTTTAGGGGTTACGTGAAATTGTTAGATCAGCCGTATAGATCGTGCCCCTTTTGCTCCGTAACTTGCTCTGCGCTGATATTGGTTACGTTGTTTGCTGGTATTGGTTACCAATAGATACCGCATTTGTCCCGCAGTACACTGAATTCAGTCCCGTGCCCACTTAACTGTCGTTTTGGGCCTCTGTTACTAGTTGTGTGCAGCGTGACTGCGAAGAGTGGGCCCAAAATGGGTTGTAGAGTTGCCAAGGAGTAGGTGGAGCGCAAGAAAAGAAATCTGGACACACCAAATTAGTGCCCCTTGGAAGCAAGTGAAACAGAACTGTAGAAGGCAGCAAAAGTAAAGAAATGTTGAAGGGTGGAAATCCGTTAGTGGCGTCAAGCACTTAGTTCTTCTATCTTGCAAATGCTGAAGATTTGGTATTTGAGGCGCTTCAAAATGCTACCGACATCAGTAATTTTCCATTATGTTTTTCTATAAAAACAGTTTAAAGCAGAATATACGACTTCTTGCAGAATACACTCTATGTTTACTGCCCAAAAACTGGAAGACGACTGTATCAAATTCCCTTTGAAATTGGAACGTTCGTTGGAATTTTCGGACAGAAAAGCCTTACTGAAGTATTCCTCCATTTTGACTCATTTCTCACACCTGGTATCATTTATTACACTGATTTCAAAGGCAAAAAACCAACAGATCAAATCGAGTTTGAGGTCGGTTTTCATTGTGCATAATCTTTTTCTCTTTTTTCTTGGTAAAATTATGTCGGATTTGCGGAATTCGCTTGCTCGCTTATTTTCGTGTGGTAAACCGTTTCCAATCCAGCGCATTTCAGGGAGATCTTTTCTGATAAGATTTTTTCTTTCTTTTCATACTGAAGTACGCTAATCTCGTATTCTTACACTGGCTTGAAGTACTGAAGCTAACTGTCTCGAACCTCACGCTTCAGGAAATAAGAAATAAATATTTTCTGGCAAGTTAGAAGTTGTTGTGAAATAGTATAGATACCAAATCAAAATGAATTAATTCTTGATGGTTAAATCATTGCTTCACTAAAAACTCCTCTACGAGCCTATAATGCAGAATGGTTTTGTTTACATAATGCAACAGTTTCATCAGTTTTTATGCGTTTTTGCTGTGCAGCGCTATAGCAGCGCTATAGCGCTGCTACAGCCAGCA